GCGCAGCCTTTTTTCCTAAGATTGTGTACATATGTCTTTTGGACAGGAATGATGTCTTTCAGGGGGTGGCAATCCGTTGATTTTAGTTTCTTCAAAATGTTTCGGTCTTGTTTGTTTAAAAGGTTCTTGATAAAAACTGGAAATGAGATAAAACCGCGTTTATGACATCGGTCTAAAAAATTTTGTACAACCGTAAGATCGGACTCAGATGCCCCATAGACTGAAAGTGCATAGCTAAAATTAGCCAAAACAATGGATATAAAAAGATGATCAATCTCTGCCTGAGAGTAATGTTCCTTTCTCAATGTTCGTAGGACGTGTAAACACTTGTTTGCTTTGACAAGCTTAGTTCTTACATGCTCATCAAATTTTCCGTCACTCTGTAAAGTTACTCCTAGTAAAACGAAGCTATTACATTGGGGAATATTATTAATTGGAGAGTAGAGTACATTATGATTTTTCTTTCTAACAACCAGCTCTTTACATTTGCAAGGGTTGCAGACCATTCTATTGTCTTTACACCATGTTAAGAACTGTCCTACTAAGTCGGCAGACGGGTCACTATTCCTAGTGATAGGCGAAAGAATAGTGGAATCATCGGCATATTTAAAAAGCACAGGGCAACCATTAAAAAAAATCTCCAAATCGTTCAAAAATATATTAAAAAGATACGGTCCGCTTACACTACCTTGTGTGGTTCCTCTATTGACAGATTTCCACTGTCCTAAAAAATTATAACTAACAACACGTTGTTGTCTTGCATAGAGGAAACTATGATACCAATTGATAATGTACGGATTTAGAGGTAGCTGTTTCAGTTTGGCAGACAAAATAGCATGGTTCACAAAATCGAAAGCCTTACTGAAGTCCATGGTAAAAATTCGCACTGCGCTACAGTCACTACTATCTAAATACTTGTATGTCTGGTGCTGGATAGCGAGCAAGGCATTTGTGCAACTACCCGCCTGTCTATATGCAAATTGGGTGTGGCTCAGGTTGTTCTCAATGACTGACTGTGCTTGTGTACGATACACGACCTTCTCGAACAACCGGGCAATAACGGGAGTAACATTAATACCACGGTAGTCTGAGTCCTCTATAGGCATGTTCACTTTGGGGAGAGGATTAACATTTGCCCTTTTCCAGGAGTCTGGCCATGTATGAGTAGACAGCGACAGATTCCAAACGTGAGTGACGATTGGTGTGAGTAGCTCAGCACAGTCTTTCCAGATCCAGTACGGGAGGTCGTCTGGTCCCGTTGCCGTTTTCTTTACATGAACTAAGGTATTCCAGACACACCGCTCAGATATTTTCGGGGGCTTTACACTGTCCGGGATATCCATATCACTAGGTCTAACGTAAGTGTCATCATAGCACAGGTTGGCGAAGTAGTCGTTCAGACCAACTAGAGAGCTCTTGTCCAAATTTATCAACGATGACCTACGACGCTGCGATAGGGCGTCCACGCCCTTCCACCACTCACCGCTACCAATGGCAGCCAGTTTTCTTCTGTTCTCGGTTATCAGCTCAGAAATGCGCTTATTAAATAAAGACAGACGTTCCTTGTTGTTTAAAGATATATGGGACTTAGTCCTCAGCATACACTTGACTAATGGGGACATCCAAACTGGGTCACGCGATGACATGCGTACAGATTTTTGCGGCATAAACTTATTCATCACTGCACGAATCTTTACCTCAAGCACCTCGACCGCCTTGTTTATGTCCACCTCATTGAGGACGTCACTCCAGTCCAGCGTAGTGAGTGCCATATAAAATGACTGTTTCCGATGTTCCCTATAGTCCCGCACAAGAACTTTGCGGCGCACAGGTTTAAGTTTTAATCCCGCCGGTAAAACAAAGCCTTCATGGTCTGTCTTAATAAGCATATGTATGGGATATGCCTGACCGAACAGATCTATCATCTCATATTCAACGCGCGCTCGTGGAATAATTGTTAAATATTATTATAGTATTACTATATATTTACGTTCGCCGTCTAGTTGTTGTTGAATTAAGATGAGCCTCTCTAACTTTAAAATCAGTCGCTTATTCCGTTCCTCAAATCACATATATATATTTTTTTTTTTTACCAATCCAGACAAGTTTAAATGCGGCTTAGATATTTACGTAGTGAAAATAGTAGCTTACGACTGGTTCCGAACACCAACCGTCGCCACTCGAAGACCGATAAATTCCACAAAAGTCAACCGATCTCCCTCAGATTTCCACCCGGGAGAGCGCTTAGCTACTACCCACCCGTTCCAGCGGCAAAAGTTTCCAAATTCCACTGCATCGATCCGAGAGCCTCTCCGTTTTACCATCCATTCTGGCTAAATTGCTTTGAAGGTACGCGTAATCCTTTTGCCCTTACTACGGTCTTCAAATAATATATAGATCTAGCCAAGCCTAAAAGCGGAGCTCCCACCAAGTGAAAATTTTGCAATATTATTTCTTTACATATATTAAAAATTTTTAGCCAAAAATTCATTCAGTATAGATCAAACCCATCGACACTTACGTGTAACACGTGCCTGAAAAGTCAAAATTTGGAGAAACCAAAAAAGCAAACACAAATGATGAGCAGTAAATTTTTGAAAATCATCTTTTCCAAAAAACAAGCTCCAGTGAAAGAAGACCAATTGAAGAACTCATTTCCGACGAAAAAAGCGATCTGTTTTATTTTTTACGACTTTATTGGGCATATCAGATAAATATTTGAACAAGGAAAAAGTACGATAATACAATAACAAATAGAAAACAGAAGAGAAACTGAGATAAAACTGCACCCAAATGGGAAGGCGCGAACTGGACGTAAAGTCCTATGCGAGGCGCCACCCATTATGAATTAAAAAACACTATAAAATAGAAAATTACAAAAATACAGAATAAATAAATAAGTAATTTCACGTGTCCACGTGTCCACGTGTCCACGTGTCCACGTGTCCACGTGTCCACGTGCAGGGCCAATCAATGTCATATATAGTTTTTAGGCGGTCTAGCATTACATTCCGGACAGATTTCTGGTACGAACCTGGGTTGTCAAAGCTGGTGGATGGTAAGACGGAGCAAGTGAGGCTCTAGAGTTTAACAATGCGATTAAAGTATGAGGCCTGAAAAGTACTGGTTCTACAAATAGGCGTTTTTAGGTTGAAAGAATTACAAAGTCTGGTACGGCCGTGGGAGACAAAGTTAACAAAATAGTGTACGTTAAAGTCAATATAGTTGTATAGACATTTGTAAAAAAATAACAAGTCTTTCAGTTCTCTGTCATAGGATAAAGGGAGCAAGTCAAGCTTATTTAATCTGTCCTTGTACGATACCTCTCCCATCCGAGTTTGTAAAATCCAGCGGGTGGCGCGGCGTTGTACTCGCTCGACTTGGGCCTTTAGGGTGACTTGAGCGGGTGACCAGACTTGCGTGGCGTAGCACAGCTGAGACTTGACCAGCGACAGGTATAGCGTACGCCGAACGGTCACGACGGGTATTAGGGGGCATGTTCGCTTTAAAAGCCCAGGGAGCTTTTTGGCTTTCGCAGTACTAGCGTGGATGTGGGGTTTCCAAGAGAGCAAACTTGTGATGTGAACACCCAGATCTTTTTCCGTGGAGACGTGCTCAAGTTGAGCACTGTCCAAGGTGTACTCGTGAACCAGGGTGTGGATTTTTTACGGGTGACAGTAAGTGATTTACATTTAGAGGTGTTGAATTTAATGCGATTACGCTTTGACCAGTTGTTTAGGTTGCCTAAAGTAGTTTGTAGAGACTGACAATCACAAATAGAGGTGACGCTTTCGTACAGCTTGGTGTCGTCAGCGTACAACGCTGCCCTGACCCCGCCTACGACTTCATCCGGTAGATCATTAATAAAGATTGTGAACAGTAGCGGCCCTAACAGACTCCCTTGTGGGACGCCGGAAGTAACCGGCGCTCCCTTTGATGCAGCACCTTCCACAAGCACCCTTTGGGCGCGACCAGTTAAGTAGTCCGTGAACCATGCAAAAAGTGGTCCCGAAACACCGTACGCCTTCAACTTGGCCAGGAGGATTAAGTGATCTACGGAGTCGAACGCTTTGGCGAAATTCAGATAGATTAAGTCTGACTGAATGTTCTTGTCCAGAGCTTCGCCAATGGCATGCAACACCGACAGTAGCTGGGTGACACACGAGCGGTTCTTCATAAACCCGTGTTGTAAATGGTTGATTAAGTGTTTCACATGATCGTAAAAACGGTCGCCCACACAACGTTCCAAGACCTTGCTGGTAATGGTAAGGAGTGATGTCGGCCGATAGTTTTCGGCGAGTTCTTTTAAGTCTTTCTTGTGAAGAGGTGTAATATCCGCAGTTTTCCACTTATAGGGTAGCTTACCCTGACTCAAAGAGAAATTGAAAAGTGTGCAAAGACTAGGTTCAGAGCATTTTTTCAAAAGGCGCGCCGGGATGCCATCGGGGCCGCACGCTTTTGAGGTGTCCAAATTACTCAAGCATTCCCTGACTTCATCAACCGACACCTCCATATGAGAAATTTCCAAATCGGTTAGTGAGTTAATAGCCGGGAGAAATACGGAGCAAAAATAGTCGTTGAGAAACTCCGCTTTGTGTTCTGATTTTTCGGCAGCTACACCATTGTAAGAGATTACTGAGTTCGCGCCTGATCGCCCGCCGCCGAGAAAAGCTTTATGATAGCTCCAAAAGATCTTAGGATTTTCCTTGAATGACATTTCAATTTTAGCCAGGTATTGGTGCTGCTTACATCGTATAACGTACTTGAGGTTTTTACTGAGAGCGCGTAGTTTTTGTTTGCGTTCTTCAGTCTTATGCTGGCGATATTTCCTAAAAGCAGCGTACTTTTTTCGAATTAGGTGCCGCACTTCGCCATCAATCCAGGGCGGAGAGTTTATGTCACGAACCTTTTTTGTTGGGACATGATCATTTACGGCTGAGAGAAACAAATCCTTCGAGTTGCACCAGTACTCATCGATGTCCTCGGAGGCAGCAATTTGGAAAGGTATTCTTGAGAGGGATTCCCGCAAAGCGTCGAGGTTTCTTTTTTTAAAATACAACTTGCCGTGTGGATCCCTTAGATCTCTTGAATTTTAATTTAACTGTGAATGTTATAACGCAATGGTCCGAGGGAAAACGGCCATCTCAAGGGTGAAAAGTTGAAACATTCGCAATAACCTCGGGCCAGTTGGACAGCAGTAGGTCAAGTTTATTGCCTGAGATATGACTGAGACCAGAGATAAACTGATGGAAAAAGTTATCCCCCATTAAATCACAGAAAACTTTGTGGTCCGCTCGGCACCCGTTGTTTATAGGGATTGACATGTCTTCTGACCAACCCAAATCCGGAAAGTTGAAATCACCCCGAGTATTAAACAGGATGATTCACCATTTTCCTGAAGCGAAGAGTTCAGTTGAGTGAGTGGTTCGGGTGCGGTATCGGGATGGTAGAAACAATAAAGAAGCACAGGTTTGTCGTGTCCGTTTCTGAGTTCTACGGCAACAAGCTCGGTGCTCTCCCTTTCGAGGTCAAAACGTCTAGCAGACTGAATATCACGTTTGAAAGCTACCAACACTCCTCCAGCACGCTCGCTTCTGTCCCTTCGATAGATAGTATAGCCAGGAAGGATTTCGGAGTCAAAAATGGCGGCGTTCAGCCATGTTTCGGTTATCAGTACAACATCGAAGTCCCCACCATAGACAAGACGTTGGAGTAAAGTTATTTTACTAATCTTTTTAAGGTCGTCTACTGACTTGACAGTAGCTTTTAGGCTTCTTGCGTTCAAGTATAAAGCGCGAAGCGAGTCACCCCGAGAGGTGGGTCTCGGATTCGGATGAATCCCGACGAGATAAACTTCACAGGGATTGAAAGTAGCCACCCGATTTGGGCCATACGAGATGGTGCAGTTGAAAAACTTTCTTCTGGCGCTTACATGAGACTCCTCAAGATTGTATCTTGTGTCGGTGGTGAAACGGGCGACCTTTGAGAGGAAGAGAAACATGAAGAGCTGGAGCAGCCGAGAAACATGACCGACCGCCATCTTGTCTTCGTTGCATTGATGGAATATGCGAATCTGTCCGTGAGTGAAGAAATCTCAAGTTCCGCGGAATCTATCAATATGTATAAAGTACAAGTGTATACTAAAACAGCTGTTCACTTCGGTTTCAGTGGCTAGCCGTGGCGATTTGCTTCACGGCTACGTTGGGCTCGGTAAATATCAACGGCTAACCACTCCCACTTCGGTGAATAGTTGTTAAATATCGCTTTAGGCCATAAGGGAACAAGGAAAGTAATAATGAGGCGACACGAGAATCGCACTACATTGTTTTGAAAGATCGCCTGAACACTGGCAATTGCAAATATCCACATTTTCTAAGTTATGAAAACGAATGAAAATAAACGGTTTATTTTCTCTTGGTATCCTTATGTTATTGAACCTTAAACGGGAAAAATTTATGAAAAAGGAAAAAAACAGGTTTTTAGAATTAAGCTTAGTATTTTGATGATCTGAAATAACATATTGAAACACTTTATTCAAAGCCTTTTTAATAAAATTTAATTAAAGTTTATTTCCTAACTAATACGTCATAACTACAGGGAAATTACGCGTCGAGGAAATATTTGCATTTCATTTGAAAGATCCTCTGAACATTTTCAGATTCACTCGTCAGCTGACGATTATAACTTATGCTAAAGAGAGCACCAGCGTGCCAACAACTAACAGATATGATCGTAAGGGAACTTGAAACCGACATATTTTAGGACATCAAAGATGATCAAGAAGTCGCATTTTCCAAATTACTTGTACACTTGACACTAAAGAAGCTTTCTAACCGCCTACAAGGCTTAGACATTGAATATAAGGGCCGAGGCGCAGAAAGGCTTATTTTGTTTATATAGCCAGTTATTAATCTATCCACGAGAAGCGTTAAATAAGTCTGAACCATGTTTCAAAACTAATAGCAATTATTTTGCTTATATCTTAAACTGACCCAATTTCTAATAAAAGAGGCTAAATCCTGCCTCGGTTGTCTCCAAATTTTGACTAAACAAACTTGTTTTTACAGCTATTTAACTGTCAGATTATGCGAGAAATGAATGGATAGAATTACAGCCCAAAATCACCTCTTTTTAAACGAAAGCTATATCTTCTGAAAGCAGATGCTACCTGCAAAAAAGCCTTCTCATATTAGCGCGACAACATTACCAAATGAAGCACTTCGTTATTCGCTTAGACTAAATTGCAAAATGCCACAAAAAAACGGAAGCTGCGAAGAGACGATCCATTAAGTTAAATTATGATTTGCGCGAAATGTTTTCGAGTCTGAGCGAAATTGGTTTGTGATTGACACATCCTTCCATCGGTAAAATTCTGCTCAAAACATTTTAATCGGATGCGTCTACTTCCAAAACTTTGAAATTAAAAAATAAATGCCATTTTATCCCTCGCAATAATAGGAAAATATTTGAATTTTTTTCTAGTTGGACCCGACTCTCGGGTCGGGGTGGAAATGCAAAGTTACGTTCCATGCGGTTATTCGGCTAAATTATTTGTAGAAGAAAACGTTATTGTTGTGTCTTTTGAATTATTGATTATTTCATTGTCCCTTTTTATGACTTCCTTGGTTTCCCATGTCGCTGAAGCTGCAAATCATCAGCACTAGAGCATCCTTTGTTTACATAATGTCGTGTTTAAACGCAAATGCTTGCCACTATTGGAGTTGCGTAGAAAATTTGCGAGAAAGTTCCCCTTAAAAGGAAAGCACTTTCCTTCCTCCCGATTGGAAATCTCGGAGCTTCTGCATAGAACCCACCAGCTGTGCTCTACAAGGTAAGCAGAACTCTTTAATGACTTAGTTGCGTTACCTTTGGCAAGATACTTCTGTGGTTAACAAAAGGACTTATCAAGACGACCCGAAGTTGAAATCCGTTCTAAAAAGCCATTTTTTTTGGTTCGTTGGCATAATATAGAATATCTAGGGTTATATTTCTGCTCTGGGCTGCTGAGCAAGAAAAATTAATTTCTCTACTCTCATTGGGGCTGCGACACGAGCGACAAAGCCTTCGGGTTTGAAGGCTGTACGTGATACGAATGCACAAAAGGCCTGCAAGGGTCTATTTTGAATTCAAACCCGGCCGGCCCATGAAAGATCCCACCACATTCTAATTCCGCCTCATTTTAAGGTCATACTCCCATTTGGATCCCTTTATTTGACGAGGGGCTCGATGAGGTTCTGTTCGTTTCGCATCACTATGTTTTCTTTCACGAGACTACTTTAAGAATATCGACAATGTTAAGATCTACTGCAGATTTTACAAACACTATGGAGGATAAAAAAATGCTAAGAAAAAAGAAAAAAAATGGAAAAAAATAGAACTGATTGCAAACAACGAAATACACTGATGGTTTTTTTCTTTTGAACAGTTTCAGCACTCAGGGAAATGTTGTGGGCATCTCGCTCCATTATCTTCCTTATCCTTCGTTCATTGATGGACTTTTCTACCGCAAAAGATCGATGTAGGATAGAGGTTAATATACCTGGTATGGCTCTCAAAGGGTTCGTCTTTAAAAGAATTTCCGCTACAGCTCCTCACGTGTGCGATATTGCCTGCGAGAGAGAAGTTATATGTCAAAGCTATAATTATGTAACTGCGGACAAGGTTTGTGAATTAAACAACAGAACCAAAGAAGCAAGTGTTGAGAATTTCCGGTCAGACGAAGCACGGTTTTACATTAGACGCATGAACGGGAGAGGCACGTATTCACTTTTATGTAGTTCATGCTTATTTATCCTAAAAATAATAATGAAATACCAGCATTTCTCCTGCATAAAAAAACATGATATCTTCACCACTTGCAGCATAACTTTGCCATTTTCCATTCCAGCCCCCTTGGGTTCCATTCCAGAATTGCCAGCGTTATCTTGCAGCGAGATAAAGTTAAGTGAAGGTCAAGACAGCCTTAGTAAAACGTACTGGTTGGATCCAACTGGCATCGGGAAAGCAGTGTTAGTTTATTGTGATATGAAAATGGAAGGTAAGGAACATTTTCTTTGATAATATTTGAACCGGAGCGTTTTTCGCTTGAGTGTCGTAAAACCAAAACCACAGTATTCATAACGGGCGATGTGGTAATCAGTACAAAAGGAAAAAACCTGCAAGTGCCAATTAGAACTGAAACTACAACCAAACGAAATTGCTTAAAGCGTGGGAGAACGCTGCCGACCAATTGCAAGTTGTGATTGGCATGAATTTTCAGGACCAGTCACCGAGCGAAGTAAACTTTGGACTGACTAAGTGGAAATTTTTTCCATCCCACTTGCCTTATTCTTATGGAACTACTGGCTTTCTAAGTTTCCTTTTCAACTGCTTTTCACTTAGACATCGATGAATGCAAAGGCGACAACCCCGTCTGTGACGTGAATGCATATTGCAGCAACACCTATGGTTCTTATAATTGCTCCTGCAAAGAAGGATATACTGGAGACGGACGATCATGTTCACAAGGTTTTTCCAGATAAAAACTCATCTTTTTTCCCTCCGTATCTTTCCTGTCTTCGGTTAAAATTGCCGACCATTTTTTTGTCATCATCCAATTAAACCTAGAGTGCCCTGTTTTTTTTTAACAAGATGAAAATATTTTCTCAAAGGAATCCAACACAGACTGACTCATTTTATATTACATTCCATGAAGAAAAATGAGCAAAATAAGTAGTTTATTTGTTTCTAAATCGTACACCTTAAGAGTTTCGAACCGAAATTCAGATAGTACATAATCGATAAAATTATGTACGATCACGATTGCCATTCATCCTTCTAGCTGATGCATGTTACCAGTACCAGTACAAAAATCTCAGCAATGCAACAAGAAAGAACACTTACAACACATCCGGCCCTAACATCTACTGTGACGACAAACTCCCTATGGGATGGTACCGTTTTGTGGGAGCAGCAGGAAACAAAATGGCAACAACATGCGTGTCAGAATTCAGATGTGGCACATATTGGTCAGGATGGCTTAGTGGTGTCCATCCTACAGTGGGAGATGGTGATGTAAGTAGGACGGTCTGCTTCAGAAGAGGTTCCTGCTGTAGGTATTCAACGCAAATAGTAGTGAAAAACTGCGGATCCTATTATATATACAAACTCTCTGCGACACCACGCTGTGATATGCGCTACTGTGGTTCAGACTAAAACTAAATCCAAATCTAGCAGTAAATACATTAACATTTTTATCAGTGGTTAACTAAAAACCTCATTAAGGCAATGGACTGCACTTTCTTCCGATGTACCCGGCGGTATAATAACTTGGGATGGTTAAAGAACATTTGAAAAGTTTTAAAATCACGAGCCGGTGTCGTGTGATTTACAAACTTTTCTTGCGATCTCCCAACATCTCAGGTGGGTCAGTACACTGGTAAACCGATAAAAAGGGCGGTTTATTACTTTTACTAAATAATCTTCAATTTAGTATGGGTTTACACGTGCGATAAACGATAGGTTTTTTTTTTTTGACCAATCAGCGCGCTAGTAGCATTCCATCTAATTTATGATTTGTCGCAATCCTTATTACCGTCATCACCATCATCATTATCATTATCATCAACATCATCATCATTATCATTATCATCAACATCATCATTATCATTATTGTCGTTATTATCATTTTCACTATTATTGAAAAAACTTTCCCACATTTGGTCAATTTCCATGCTGGCGACAAACTGCTAAGTAGCGTTTTGGCCATGTTCCACTTCCTAAGACTGTTCACTCTTTCACTCCCAAGTGTTCATTAGTAATTTTTCTTGCTTTCTCCCAAACAACTCATATGATTTTAGCTCATTCATAATTCTTCTTGCTTTCTACCATACAGCTCATATGATTTTAGCTCGGATAATTTGATATTGGTTTAACTAATAATCCCCTAATTGACCTTTTTTCTTTATCCTCATCACTTAAGATAAAGTCTTTTTACGAGCCACATCAGGCCGGTGCTTAACTCCGGTTTCCATAGCATGAAGCGACTAGGAGTATTTCTACTCCCACCTGGATGGGATGCGAGTCCATCGCAGGGTTACCCCCCAGCATTAAATTTTCCGGTACCCATTTAAACACCTCGGTGAAGAGAGGCACTGTGAGAGTAAAGTGTCTTGCCTAAGAACACAACACAACGTCCCCCGCCGGGGCTCGAACCCGGATCACTCGATCCGGAGTCGAGCGCACCAACCATGAGGCCACCGCGCCTCCACATCCTCATCACTTGCCTGCTTGATATTGTATTGATAGTGTAAGGATATGTTCTGTCTATGTCACTCATGGGAATTAAAGGGTTAAACTTTATTCTTAAATACTTTTTTATATGACTATATTACGAAAACAAGACCATCAAATCTAAATTGCTCTCTAAGCAACATAATTACGCCCTTACAGTACATCCTTAATGCAGCTTCTTTCAGATTTAAAAAGGGAAAATTTCCCAAACAATTATTGGATACAGCGGGTAAGTTTCTGTGGTGCATAGTTGTTTTAGTATATACTAAAACAGTGAGATAATATACAACACCGTCGTTAATTTCAGTGATTTCTTCGCTTGTCACGGATTCAAACCGGGACGCCATTTTTTCCTGAGTTGCTCGGAGGTAAATAGCAAAGGATACTCGGAGTTTGACTAGCCAATCAGAGCGTGCCTTTAACGCTATCCACTGTCTTAGTATATACTAATACAGGATATTTTGGTTTTACCAATGATCTGATGATAGAAATTGGCCACTGCTTAAAGATTCTTAAGCTGACATTTCAAGAGTTAACCCTTCGACTTTCGCTTGGATGACATTAATCTATATCATAAGGAAAAACTGACGCCGACTAAAATTTTTCAAAAGGGCGCTGTATGAAAATTATTTTTCTTAGCACTGATTTCGAATTTTCGATATTCTTTAGTTGATATTTTAACTTTGATATGACAATATAACTGACTAACAATAACAATAACAATTACTATCATGCAGTTTCTTTTTTATGTTAAGCGTAGAAAAACACATTATAATTCAAAAAGAGGAATCTTCAATCTTAGTTATATTCTCTGTCGTTGCAGTTTCTTTATTGTAATGTATGTCATTACTTGTGCCAGTCTACATTTTTTATTATGGAGTAATACTATAGCACGATTCCTTTTTTATGCATGAAATGGTCTAACAAAAGGGTGAAAACGGAAAAAAATTGAAATCATACTGAAAGAGAACTGTTCCGGGTCCCTCCAAAAGCGTATTAACTTTAAAGTGTGTCATAAGATTTAGTTCTCTGTCAAAGGAATCTCCTTCCCTCTCATAGACGCAATTAAGATCCAAACCAATGTTTTAGTTAATCCTTTACTCTCGAGATTTTATCAGTAATTCTCTGTACTGTCTGCTATACAGTTGTTATCATGTTAGTTTGGAGAATTTGGTATTGGATCAACTAGTAATCCCCTTGTTGAAATTTATCTTTATTCTCATCACTTGTCTGTTTGATATTGTATTGATATTGTAAGGAGAAATTCTGTCTTGGTCACGCGTGGGAGTGAAAGGGTTACGTTCAATTTATCAATGAACTAAATTAACAATGTGGATAGATCATGTTGATAAAGTAAAGTTTGGAGAGCACGCAAAATGCTGAAGAGTTTCTCGAGGCGAAGCCGCGAGCAAATTTAGCGTATGCAGTTCTCCCCAAATTTCCCACGCATCATTTTCAAGTTTCCGTGAGCGCACAACTGGCGCACATGAAACAATTTTGTCATAATTTTCGAAAGATAGTTTTACTGTTCATCGAAAGAGAAGTTCCTTCTGCTATACTTCCTTTCATTTTACACACTTCAAAAGCTCAGGCTTTTGAGTCTGATTCCGCGAGACTGCTTCTTTTGTTATGATAATTTTATCGGAATTTTCTCTAATTGTCTAGCAACAAATTGTACTCGCCTCGGTTTGGGGTGTAGGTATTAAACTATTCATTTTTGCGGGTATAAAATTTTCTTTTTAGTACATAGAAACTAAACTCTGACATTATTGTGCATTTAATCATATTTAAATGGAATTTGCGCACTGCAAATATTAAACTATTATTCTTAATATTATTCTTTTATTCTGGTGCGTTGTAAAAAGCGAAGACTTTAAAACGTTCTCGAAGTCTTCACTGCAAAACCGCCAATTAACGATAACTTGGTTTATCCCACGAGGCACCAATTCGTCTGATGTGAAATAATTGGACGAAGTGGGCTGAAAAGGCACGCCTCCATAGTCTTAATTACTTGAATCCGTACTGAAACCTTTGACTGTTCATTAACAGAAGTTTATTTTCTTTCACCAAAGTAGAGATAAATATCTACCAGTATCACTGACCCCGAGGTAAATAATTGGTTGAGTATACCACTGAAGATTTAAAAAAAAAATAATTTACCTCATTGCTGTCCATATACCGAAAAATGGTCGGAAATTAAACTGCTGACTTGCGATTTTGTTTCTGCAGCAGCTTGAAGGCAAATAGTGCTTGCTAATCACTTTCGAGCCAACCAATTACCGCGCGCTGAAAGAAGCAGAGGATATTGATATGTATTTTGGAAAAAACTTAATCGATAGGCTGTAAACCTTCTCCCACCTTTACAGAAAGTTTAATCTCTTTGTTTAGTGTGATTTATGACAAGACACACAGGGCTTACACTGTAAGTATTCTGGAGAGCTTCATACAATTCCTTATAATTTTTTATATAAGGAGTTATATGGAGCTTTTTTTAGCGGTAGTCGTGGCGTGGCTGGTGTTGTCACATACGGATCCTTGCCAGGATCATACGTGACAACACCCGCCGCGCCTCGGCTAACGCTAAAAGAAGCTCCATACAATTCCTTATAATTTTATTATAAGGAATGCATGGAGCCCTCCGAGATCCTTACAGTGCAAGCCCTGTGTGCCAGAGTTTTCAGAAGTTAAACTGATGTGAAGACACTTATTTGAAGACAGTTTTTGGATGCACTGCCTTTGTTAGTGATATTCTTGAATAAAATTTTGGCGTCAGTTGTTGGAAGATCTCACAAAATGGAATTTTTTTTATGCATAAAGTCATGAATAGCGATTCAGAGATCATTTCGATTCAATATCCCTAAACTAACGCCAAATTTATAACGGCAGCTCAGCGGAATAAACTTGAAGATAGAGCCACAGATACCCAAGTGCTTAGGAACCCGGAGTTAACTGGAAAAAGCACAGAAAAACAAGTATAACTCAGCCAGGGTTGATTTTAGCTTTGTCGCTGACTGGCTGAGAAAGTGGAGCAAATATTCTTCCCCAGTCTTATAGTGCAAGTGAAGAAAAAGCATTGCGTACGTGGATCACTTAAGATACTCACTCCAAAACTGTTTCGTCTTATCGATAGTGTTATTAAAACTTGATTCGAGTGGGTCTTTTTTTTCATGACAATTTATGCCAAGAAAACAGTGCGTGACCACTTCAGTGATTCAGCGATTCAGAGATTATTTCGATTCACTATCCCAAAACTAACGCCAAATTAATAACGGCAGCTCAGCGGAATAAAATTGAAGATAGAGCCGCAGATACCCAAGTGCTTAGGAACCCGGGGTTAACTGGCAAAAGCACAGAAAAACAAGTATAATTCAGCCAGGGTGGATTTTAGCTTTGTCGCTGACTGGCTGAGAAAGTGGAGCAAATATTCTTCCCCAGTCTTATAGTGCAAGTGAAGAAAAAGCATTGCGTGCGTGGATCACTTAAGATACTCACTCTAAAACTGCTTCGTCTTATCGATACTGTTATTAAAACTTGATTCGAGTGGGTCTTTTTTTTCACGACAACTTATGCCAAGAAAACACTGCGTGACCACTTCAGTCGGTAAATGCGGCTAGTCGTTTGAGAGGATCGACTCAGACGCAATTATTTCAAGACCAATAGTTGTTTATGTTTGGGTTCATTTGTCCCATATATTCGACTATTCGTTACGAAGGACATAGTTTCCTGCTTTCTGTGAGCTTGATGTTTTTAAAAAAAAAGACAGTTCATAAGTCCCTTTTGTTTAATTTTCCATCTGTATCTTTGTCTTTCAGATCAGTAAGTTGTACGCTACTTAAAATTTAAACTAGGTTTAAGCAGTTTAAAGCTGTCCAAATATAAAGCTGTCCAAAGGCTCCCTCAGATAGAGAACCAAAAATGGTATTTTATACTTCTGAAAGCTTTCTGTTTTACTATGGGAATTCCACGTTGCGTCTTAGGTACGCAACCGTTTAAGTTGACAAGCTTGTAATCTGCGAATCTATTACGCTGATCCGCAAGTTTTCCTCGCGGGAGGAAACTCCTTTTAATTCTAAATCACCGAGGTTTGAAATGTTTCCAATGCTGTCTTTGTACCAAAAATGCAATGATACTATTTTTAAAATATCTTTCAAACCCTGGCGATATCTGTTAAAACGCACCAATGAAATTATGGGAGATATGGCAGAATTTGAATATAAGGCGAGCTTTGAGAACACACCAAACAGGATTATATTACAAGAAGTTTCCCGTTTCCATACAAAGTAAAACAAAATAGCAAAAATATTAATTGGGAGGACACAACATGCAAATGCAATCATGATCGCACACACGTTCTTAAAAACTTTGCTGTTTTCGGCGCGATGCATGGAGTCCTCGGACTTGCTCAGCACCCAGAGAATTCGCGAATAAGTAAAAGCTATAAAGCAAAGAGGTATGAAAACAACTAGCGCCAAAACCACCGCCACATATAGCTCCATCGTTTGGCGATCGTCAAATGTTGGCTCCCAACTGAATTTGCATGTTGTTGTAGTGTTATTGGACTCGAGGCGGGCTGTATAGAAATATATTCCATGCAGAGAGACAGCTGCGAACCATATAAGCGGAATGATCAGTTTGCATCTTTTCGGTGTAATGACTGCAGGGCGAAATGGATGTGCTATTGCTCTATATCTTTCAATAGAAATAACGACCAAGCTTTGAATCGAAACAGCTGTGGAGATATCTTGGCAGAAAAAAACAAGCTTGCATAAAACTGAGCCCACAACCCCATCGATTAGCCAGGCGTGTCCACTTAGTTGGCTTGGAACAGCGAAGATTGATATCAGCAAGTCTGACGCCGCCATGTTAGCAATGAGATAGTTAACTGTAGTCAGAGTGCGAGAGTTTCGTGCAGTTATGGCAATAATGGCTGTATTTCCAAGTAGCGAAATGATAAGAATCAAACTGTAACTCAGAATCTTGACCAATTTTAAAGACTTGTCTTCCAGACTCCCACATACAGTTGTGTTTACCATAGTGGCTTGGGTAGAATACCTGCCGAAAAAAGAGTAATTCAAAAGTGGGTTAAAATAATTCGTTGCGTGAAGATGACACGAATTTGCTTACGTAATGTCAAAACAAACATGCACCTTGTGCGTACATCCCTTTCGTCAGCGCTTTACATTCTGCTCGAGAGACGTGAAAAGACATCTTCGTTTTCCATAAAACGTGACGTTAAAGTTCATTTTTTTCCTCGTGATTCAAAATCCCTGATGAGGAATTATGTAGCCGTGAACATGAGCCATTTAATCGACGAGTAGTCTTGTTTTGCAGAGGTTGAATAAATTTTACCCTTATCGTAGCGACTATAATTTGCATTTCTATTTATTGTCAAGCAACTGACAAATGATTTTACATTTTTCCTTTCTACTCTACTACTGTATTGATATTCTGTTTCTATTCAATTAAGCTTGCGTTTTTGCGTGAGGACATGTAAGAATTATGTAACGCGGTGGCTACACATTTTCGCCAGGCAGCACGTTGTTTTCGTAAGATAATTTACTTTGGAAGTTGATTTCGTTAGTTTTTGCTTGCACCGAGTTTCTTTTATTTAAAAGTTTTACTGTCGGACCTGGTTTCGCCGCAAAATTGCTAGTTCGCTTCCATTTTTTTTATTTTTTTGTTCTTGTTATTTTTATATTATGTACTTAGATATTTGTATTGATTATTTATTTTTAGCCGAATCACACACACACGTATCTACAATGCTTTACATCTAAATTGACTTCCATCTGGAAAATAAATTAAATGCATATAGGAATTCGCATTGTGGCGTTAAAAGTGCAGTTATCCCTCTACCGACACTTATTTTGGTGTTTCAATGAGTTTATAAGACAGTAACTGTTGCTTTTAGAGCTCGATTTGAATTTTCATCGAATCTTCGTTGAATTTTCATTGAATTTAAATTTAATTTTGGTATTAAATATTGTTACAATCGGCTTTCCATAGCCAGACCAGCCTGTTTCAACGTTGCCAATAGATAAATGAATAAAGCTATCGAAAATAGAACTTCCGTTGATTATTTCCTTATCCAGGCGATACGCGATTGCGGTAGCTTTTGAACGAGTATGAAACTCTTTCCACTTTTGGGGTGGGTGAGGAGGTAGCAAAAGCGTTTTGTTGGTTAATCAGGATTTCCATTGAAGCAAAGGGAAGTTTTAAACAGCTGATAATTTCGTGAGTTGTATGACCTTAATTCACCATCTTTCCTTGGATGAAACTGGAAAATTAAACTGATCAGCTTTCTGATCCTTCTCCAGCGCTAGAGTTCCATTTTTTTGCTGATGCTTAAGAGTTGCCATGACAAACTTTGAGATTACTGGTTTCGTGAAAGAGAAGAAAAAACTTGATCTGTTTGAAAAACGTAAACAATTGTGCTTGAAGGTGATTTTAGTTTAATTTTCCTCTCTGTATTAAAAAAATAAAATAAAATAAAAACAAAGATACTGAAGTTTCGGCCTTTTTGTTGACATTGAGAGAAGTAAATGAAATTTGTCTCTGGAAACAGAACTTTGTTGTTATGAAAAGATATGGGCAATTTGCATCAATGCCATTTTTGACTGCCCTGTTTTAAATAGTTAGGCAAAGCTTTCACCATCGAGCAAAGCATAGGCCGGGTTTAAAGGTCGGGCGATAACCAGCTAAGTCAAATGACGATCCCATTAAAGATTGTAACTTCTGCTTGCCATACGGGCATAGGAATATATTTGATAAAGAAATTTGTAGCTAAGGATCAGTTGCTGAGCAACTGGAAAAAAAGTGTACAAGTTAAACGGATAAAATAAGTTAGACCCGCAAAGCAGAGGTCTAAGTCAACTATATTCGTGACGTCGACAGAATTTCAAGTTATCCCGGATCTCTCTATTACCAATAGTCAGTTTGAATAAAATATGTTTTAAAAAAAACCCGGATCGAGAAGGCAAACAATCTGGACCCAGTTGTTCAAAGGCCGATTAGCTCTAACCCAGGGTTAAATTTTAATCCAGGTTTCTAAATTTCTCTCATCAAAAGCCATTTTGGGATAATTTTTCCTAGTTTTTTTAGGAAATTCCATCATCAAATTGTAGACAAATGAAATTAAGCTGAATTTTCTTTCAGAACTTTCAGATCTGAAATCAAATTTCACACTAACCCTGGATTATCTTAACACAGCTTTGAACAACCCGGCCCTGACCGCTAGTTTCTCTTTGAAAAACTTGGATGAAATACGCATACGAATGTCATAAGGGTGTAAATGTTTGCTTCTAATAAAATTTTTAATTCAAAATTTCTTTTTAATTTATCATTAACTTTCACCTTCATAGAAAAAAAACAACGCGATTTTCAGTTTATGGTCTTCAACGAAGCATCCTCAAATGCTTGTCTGGATTTTTAGTAGTCTAAAGGTGACTAGAAAGAGAGCATCAAACAGAAAAATCAAGCTGACCTGGGAAGCTTGCAACTTCCGCGGACTCTTTGTGACAAGCACTCGCAACCTGTCAGTGTGATAACATGAGATGTATGTTCACTAGTTTGGGTCCCTAAGAGATCCTTTCCCCCTGAACATAACAAATATGACATGTATCGTACTCATTAAACTGTCAAAAAACTGAGAAGTTCTCATAAAACGATAGAGTTATGCTCGCGTGCATATATATGCTTTGAGTTAAAATGACTCTGAGAAGGAGGGCATCGAGAAAAAAAACACTAAACCAATCGACCAGAAAAAAAATAGTTTGAACAATCACGCAGGCGTGTGAGCGGGTCGAAATAAATCTTAACCCGCCAAATTCGTCATTTTAGCCCTCAAAATGCGCCACGGTGCCCAATAAAAAGACGGTAATTCATTCTTGGTTACATGTACTTACCTTTTTTCGGCGTAATGCGGTAGCATATTATTTTGGTGTTGTTTATATTGCAATAACAATAATAATAATAACTTTTATTTATTAGCGCTCATATCCTGAGCTCATGGCGCTTTGCAATACTGTGCGGGGGACTTTACCAGACTGCCAGTGGCAGTTTACAATCAACAAAGGCGAATTTGTATGTATACAAATTGCTTATGGCATGTATGAAAATCAGTTTACTTTCCAGCACACCGCAGGATAAGATAAAACATCTTCGGCAACGGAAATTAACGAACCAGCCTAAATGGTCTGACTTTTATGTACCGCGTTACTCATCACTAAAAAAAAAAATCCATTAAAGTGCTCTTCATTATTATAAATCCATTAAGGGAATGTACTTTGGTGTCGTTGTTTACTAACATGATACGTGTGTTTTGTGTTTTTTTTCCTTTTAAAATTTTTTGGTGCTTGTGTAAACATGAATTATAAGCTCATCTGCTCATCTGCGCTAAAGTTCTAAAGAAAAATTTTTTCAGGAATTGAAGTCTCAATAGCCATGATAACTAAATCTACATGAATTTACTTTGGCCGAATTTGTAAACAAAATGGCGATAAAATTATAGTCAGAAGAAACGGAATCTATTAAGTTGGAGACCAATTTTCGCTTAGCTCTCAACCTTTTATATATCCAACCTTCAATTTAGCCACATCTTTTTAGCTAAACATTGATTTTTTGACCAGTGTCAAGAGGGCCGAAATCTACTGAGTAGAGGGATTTTTATTTAATCAAATCAACCCTCTTAAAGAGAATCCCTAAAGCCCACTGCTTGCACAAAACCACGGTTTGGCATAGGCCTTGTGTAAATAACCGGCCAAGAATTTATGGATGATCAAAGTGCCGATTTAATTTGGAAACTTTTTGGTCAAAAATTTGTAGTCTTTTAAATAGAATATTAGGGTACAGAAGAAAATCGAACTACCATAGAAATTCAGACGAAGACGATTAAAACTGAGTGCTACCAAATCTCAAACTCTGATTTGCCTTCATATTTTCGGTTTCGAGAAAATTCTGGTTTGTACTGTATTTGTCGGAATAACACTTATATGAAATTGAAAAAGAACTCAATGGAAACCCAGGTAAGAGAATTTTTAGAATAATTCATAAAAGAAATATCGCTTGAACATATTGAACTCCGACAACTAATTGCATATAAAATTGAACCCAGTTAAAGTTTAAGGTATCGATTGTGGCAGAAGACATGTTTAGAAAATTTCCTTAGCCCAAAATTACTACCAATTGGACCTGCCGGATTGAACCTCTTTAGAAGAGGACTATTTTTTCCTCCTTCGCTTTCTTAAGTCAAAGAGGGTCTGCGACACTACAACAGTTAAACTAATAAAGGCGTGATCACATGATTCGTGGCCACGCTTGTAATCACTAAGCGTGGTCACGGTGTGATTATCTGTGAAAACGTTTTACCCATAATCAGTGTTATCACCAAGATTCGAGTTGTTTGAATAAAGGAGATCTGAATTTTTCTGGAAAAACTGCAAAATTAAATACAATTTGTGATATGTCAGACGCAAAAACTGTCATTGACTGCCACAAGTTTAAGGAAAGAAACGAAATGTATCGTTTGCATATCAGACCTAAGTTACTGACTACTAACAACTTGCTAACGAAGTTACCTGTAACTTCATGATTTAACCTGTATCGTCCACTTTTGTACTCTTGTCAACGGATATATTTTCAAAGCGTCCCTCAACGATTCAAAACAACTTTAATTGTAGATAGCCTGAAATAATATCATTTCGCTCACCGAAAGATCCCTTAATTTAGCATCATCAGAATCTGTCGATGTACCTAACTTTCCTAAGCGACTACCAAGCAAGAGAAGTCAATATACAGCATCCAAAGCGAATTCGTATTACAAACAAATAGCCTTCCTATTAGATGGCGGAAGTTCACTGCTCAAAAACATTTCCTGCTTTGAGGCTATCGTGAACAGCATTAGACGGTATTGCCTCTAGACTCAGTATTTACACAAAAAGTGATATTCAATGAGTTACAGTCTAATTTGTTCCTTTATTAACTTACAAGCTGTAGAAATCAGCCGAGAAACATTTGGAAAATATCCGTGCACCTGTGTCAAAAAGGTAGAACTGGCTGCTCTAAGAATATCTTTAAGATCGCGTGCAGCATTGACCACGTAAGGTACGTAAGTATAAAGATATGGCGCCGCTGGAGTGGGAAGTAAATTTCCGAAAAAAATGTTATTTAAAAACTGGAATGGCTAGCACTTTCTTGGATAGAGTTCTGGGCCCAGTTGTTCAAAGGCCGATTAGCACTAACCCAGGGTTAAATTTTAATCTAGGTTTCTAAATTTCTCTGATCAAAAGCCGTTTTGGGATAGTTTTTCTAATTCTTTCTAGGAGATTCAATCATCAAATTGTAGACAGGTGGAATTAAACTGAATTTTCTTTTAGAGCTTTCGGATCTGAAATCGAATTTCACACTAACCCTGGGTTATCTTAATCCAGCTTTGAACAACCCGGCCCAGAATTTGATTTATGGCGAACAGTTTGTGTTTAAACGAAAAACAAACCTTCATGATAGCAGTAGCGAATCATATTTAGCCTTTGTACATCTCATCTAACTGAATTTAATCGTACCTTTCTTATACTTCTGCTCGACAACTTCATACGCGACGCATTAAGAGACCTTGGGTAAACATAAGAAAGCTTGATCTTGGCTAGACCCTGTGGTTTGCTTATACAACAGCTTGGATCTTCTCAATCATCAATTGAACGCACTCTGATATGATCAATTGTGAAGTAAATTTTCTGCAGTGCTCAATGGGCCAAAGCTCTTGTAGTGTGGGAGGATTGGATTTTTCCATTTATCTACGCATCCGCCATCTGTTAAAAGCTCTTCCTGGTAGATTGAACTTGGCAGCAATTTGTCTATGTTCGATTTTTAACATGTAAATGAACCTCCCGGTAGAATGAACTTAACCGCCGTAAAAAACACATGCAAATATTGACCTCCTTTGTTTGAACAACAATGGTTTTAAGCTCAAATTTAGCCGAAAAAATGAACAATGCGTGGAAGAGACACGTTTCTTCGATAACCCGTCGCTTCAAAAAAATTTTCTGAGAAAAAGTGAAGCTGAATTTAAATAGCGACGCCGGAAAAAGCAGATTTTAAGAGCAAAGAGTCGACAAGTTTTCCATGTGGGATTTTCCAACTTTTACACAACATGCGAGTCTATTTTGGTCAATTCCTCGTATGATCTTACTTACCAGGTGAAGTTCATGGCGGCAGGCGGCAGTGAGTTTAAAAATAATCGCATGATACGAACTACACTAAGAAAATAAAGTTCGTTACGGAGGGGGACATTAGGGCCTACTAGAATCCGCCAAACCGTAGAAAACAATCAGCTAAAACGACAAAACCGTCAAAACCGATACATTTTCACATCCTAGTTATCGAAAACCTAAACAATTCGATACAGTGGTGACAAGTGGAGCATACAGAGGCTTCGTGGCTTATTCGAGATCAATGGAGGCGCGTAATTGCCGCTCAGATCGCAGACAAGCCGGAAGCCAAACAGGGAAAACCGAAAACACCATCGGGTACCAAATCCGAAAACTCGTTAATATTTTTCACGAGAACCGATAACAAAATGCTAAAAACGGAAAATTTTCAAAGCGCAATGAATACCAAAACTGAAAAACAGGAGCTTTTTGGCACCAAAACCAAAAATGCGATCTAAAAAATAGCTAAAATAGCAAAACCGAAAATCCCAATGCCCTTCACTTTACTTTGCTAAATCCTTTGCATCATTATGCTTACCAGTTGAGGTTCACTGCGGCCACTGACATTTATTTCAGAAATAATCCAGAAATAGATATATTGCAAATGAATGGGAAAAGAAAAGTGTTCTGTGTAACTCTTTAAAAACGTCAGATTGCGTGCAACAGGATTAATTGCCACAAAGTTTCCATGTAAAAACGTGGGCAACTCAGCTAATAATTTCGCGCTGAATTTCTCTTTGAGAGTGGAAATATTTCATCAACTTGTCACTGAATATCTATGCAACCAAATCAGGCGAGTAGCGTCCTATACGCATATACGCAAGTGCGTACTTGAACTGACTAGAAAATTTTGAAAACCTTGTTGCGTTTGCGCCAAGTTTGCGTTGTTCTTTGCTTGTATTCACACAACTATTTCGAACAAAAACTAAAGAACGCAGCATTTTTCTCTCAGTTTACTTAGGTTTCTAGATCCCATGTACTTGTGCGTACTTGAAAAAATGACCACGCTACGTGCCTGCAAATTTAGTTCTGACGTTAGTTTTCAATAGGTCGGTAGCTAAGAACACTTTTTAAAAACGTGTGATATCAACGAACTTGAATCGCTTTAATAATGAGCCCTACAGGACCCACGTGACCAGCCCTCCAACTCCCATGATCTCGTGATCCCATGATCTCATTGTCCTTACTATCTGCTAAACAATTATTGTGTGGTTACTTCGGATAATTTCGTATTGCATGGATCAGCTAATAATCTCTTATTTGATATTTTTCTCTATCCGTATAACTTTTCTGCTCGATATTGTATTGAAAAAATTCAGTCTTGGTTATCGCATTCAGATTCATATTAAAATCAGCTTAGAAATTAAACAATGCGAACTCAGACGACTTTCATGCGCTCATAAATATGCTACTATCATCACAATCAATAAGGCCGTACTCAGTTCTAGAGAGGCAATCTTTGCATTCAATTACTTGATGTAAATGGATAGATATACAATATAATAATAAGGCCTTAGTGTTATCAGATCTCCTAGAGCTAAAATAACGACTTTTAAAGATTGCATCAGGAAAAAAAAACCTTTCTGATGCCTTCAGATTAATTTTACCCACTTCTTTCTGTCATCATTGTGCAGTAAATTTGGCTTTCAACTTGGCTTCCAACTTCGAACCAGAATAGGGTCAGAAACTGCAACCTTTTCTAAGTGTACCTTTCGGTTCAACGTTATATAGTCAATGTACCTAGCCCTTCCTCAAGTAAACAAATATAGACATCCTTCGAATGGAACAACCTTTCATATGGGCGTTTGTCTGTCAATGCTTAATCTTCAAATTTAATTCAGTTTGTTCCATAGGCCGTAAAGGGCGGACCTTCCTATTACGCGTGACTTTCAATTGATAGTCTGAGTTGACGACTAAAACTTTTTAATACAACAAAGCTACTGCTTTGTTTCGGCTTGTATTTCGAAGACTGTAATAATTAACAAATCGACATTACTGCCAATTGTGGTAACACTCAATATGCACGAGTACATTTCTCAAAGTTTCAGAGTCAACTGACTTACTTTCGTAAGTTAATCATATGGTAATATTAAGGAAATATTCGTCCGTGCCTGTAAATGTAAATCTCCAATATCTAGACTTGAGAAACGGCAGGGGACATTGACTTTTAATCAAAATAGGATTACTTTTCTAACGAGTGAACTATGGTCTACAAAGTTCCAAGATAATCTACATTTATTTTATTTTGATATGATTTCATTCATGTATTTCCAAGAGTACACTGAGAAAATATTATTTCTGCGGTTCTTACTGTATTGTGTTCTTTGTGCAATTTGATAATGCGTCTCGCTGGATTTTATACCTCGAGGTCTCACAAATATAAAACAACAAAGCTGTAGAAAACCCCGAGCGTACGATGCGATTTGGTTGCGGATGAAGGTGCTATTTATTTATTAATTTGCTGGTGAGAAATGTAATGTTCCAAAATGTACACGATTTAAGGTTTGACCATTCTCGGCCAAATTGTTTACGCTCACATGTAGAATAACAAGCCCGATGTCACTTTTAATCTGTTGTTTATGATAGCGCGGATTTCTGTGGTTATGCAGTACATTATAATATCTGTGTTGTGCATTTTCGACGGGTAGCTGGTGTATTCTGACTGAATCTGGTCGAAAAAGTGGGCAAGGTGTTAGTGATATTCCCATCACTAAAACATTTTGAAAATCTTCCAAAATAACAACACTTGTTGTTTACTTCATAGTAGCCCAGTAACTAAAGGATGTCCTTTCAAAAAGTTGCGTGATTTTGGCCGTGGTTTAAATTGTCACATCCAATGCAAATTTACAGAGTAAGATGAATCGATAATGCCATGTTATTGCTATTTCAATATTCACTAGTTGTATTAGAAAAATAAAGAAAGAGAGAAAAGACTGAAAATTTACCCGCGGCTGAAAGCTTCTAGAAATCTTGATTAACTTGCATGTTTCTAATGCTTGAAGTCACTGGACGCAGTTCGTATATCTTCATTGAACTTGAGAGAGTCAGACAGCTTGTGAAGAAACTTTTGTCTTTATCTTTACAGTCCGCAGAAGCTGTGAAATGACTTTTGGTGCATTGAACTTTTATCATTTTAAAGTTTTTTTCATTTCGCTGGCAACGTCAATCATATAAATTTAATTTAAAATGACCTTGGCTATTACAGTTTGCCGCGGCAGCTGCAAATGCAATGATCAGGTCAAATCACGCCGGCAACTCGAACTCTATTGGTAAATGAATTGAGGAACTAAGGATTACTGCATATATATTTCCTTTTAACAAAACGAGTACGTCACTACTTTTATTCTTAATCACAGCTGTTCCTTGATCTATTTACAAGGTAGGAAAGTTGACGCTGGGCTGACGCGATTAACGCCCTTGCGCAAGTGTTTTCATCGAACATTCTTAGTCAATGTTTCTCTTTTTTTTAATGGCTCACGAAATTGGCTTCTCGGCCAACAATGGATTATTTTTTTTCACCATCATGATCTTAGTTAACTTGGCAATTTTTGCAGTCCTTGATTGAAAAGCTCAAGGCAAGATTATTCCCGCGATCGTGAATTCTTTTTTGACAGCTTTTCAAAGTCAATGACATTTTTTTTTTATTTTGGCTTTGTTCGGTGTACTAATGTGGTTCGAAATTCTTATCTTTTCAACACTTGGTTTCGGTTTGTTTTCAAGAGATGTAAAACACCCACTCTTTCGTCACATATTTATTACTTCGATAGTTTTATCTGCTATGAAAAGCAAAAAGTGTCTTTTTGCGTAATTAGAATTGTCCAAAGAGCGCCAAAGAGACCACGGCTGTTCGGTTTGTCATTAGTTACCCCCTGAGGTGTAGCGCAAAACCAGTTTAAACAAAAACAATAGTTTATAAGTATGTTTCGATGCCAGAAGAAAGTTTCCTTGCAAAAATTCCGAGGGATGCTGGAGTAGTTTCAAAGTAGGCAAAATGTCGAAGGGATAATTTTGCCTCGAGCCTTTTAAAATTGAGAAGTAAAATAAAAAAAAAAAAGATTTTTTTTTGCTAATATTGGAGCAAACTATTAGTGCGGTCTTTTTGACCTGAGCATTTCAATGTCGTGTACGTGCAGAAGTGGGAAACCCAATTTCTAACCGAGGCTCAAAGAAAACGAGTGAAGCGAATGGTGACCTGAAAAATTATTTGCTCAAATAGCTAGTGTTGCATCATGCGAAAACTTTCAGAGAATTTCAGTCAGGTTGTGTCTTTTTCACATTCTGGAAGTTGTATCATTTCAAGTGATTTGGAAATAAAACACTAGTAGTCAGCTTGGGAGCAAAGAGGCAACATGACCAGAAGAGAGAAGCTTGATAAGTCTCAATATAAGAAATCGCTTGTTTAACGAAAGTCAGGTCGCGAAATCTTGTCCTTGTGGGATTTAATTTGATGTAGACGCTGTCCTCAATTTTCTTCAATCGTCACCATCAAAGCTCCTCCTCTAAAATCATTCCGTAAATGAGCTTCTTGTTGAATGATAGCTTTATCAAAAATCACATGGCAGCTTAATAAGGCTAAATTACATGATTATTTAGGGGAGGGACTCAGAGAATTTTGGTTGTTACAATTAAAATTACGTTATCCCCCATATGGCTCTACAGTCTACTAATGATCGACCCTCACTGGCAGTGGATTTCCTGTAGTCCCCCTTTACACTAAAAAACACAGAATTCGCCCAAAGAGGAGAGATAACAAAATCATAGCTGGTGCTCACACATCACGAAGCTTGTAACCACGAAACTCAAATCTAGCATATTACTCGGGTATTACTTTGCCTTTGCGCGCAATCATCCAGCAAGTTATATTAAAAACAAACGAATCTGCACCAAAGCTAGGCGAGATCCCTTTTAGTTCACTTTTTTTTTCGTTCAGCTTCATGATTGTTTATTCATGATCGACTCTTTTAAGGGAGAACGTTCTAAATCTCTCAATGTCGTGGGTTTTCTATACAAAAATACAATTATTATTATCCAGTTTAAAACGTATTGCACAAACCTCGCCTGGCATACTGCGCATATGTGTCTTCGTATCTTTTTGTAACCAGCAGCCCTAGTTATTCATTGTAAAAAAAAGAAATTATATATTTTCTTCGTTGTTGAATGGTTTAACTCCCGAGGGGGGCTAATGAATTACTTCCCTGCTCGTGCAGCTTACTTTTTGTTACGAACACTCTCAACACCAATAATGGAAAGATTTCCATATAACCCCATACATACATTATGCATTCCATTTCATAGAGACTAGATCTAAAGGTTTCTTTGCAACACTCTATACATAATTAATGAATGGAGTCATATGGAAACCTTGCCCCAATAATTTTTTTAAAACTTTAGTCAGTTGTCGCTGTTTGGGCTTTGGCGATACCTTGTTGGCGATATCTGTGAAGGTGTACGTTTGTGAGAGATGACGAATAGACGAACAAGAAATGTGTAAAACTGAAGAGAATAAAACAAGAAATATTGCAAATTTTGTTCAGCACTGTCGTCAAATAAAGATGTTATTTATATTTGTCACGCGCGTGTGACAAAAAAAAATATAACCCTTAGGAATGATTAAATCTCACACTTGGGATTTCACACTCCTGATGTTGTAGCACTGAGCTGAAGAGAAAACGATGGAGGCGAAGCTTTAACTCTCTCATCCCTAGGAGTGGCTTGCATCTACTTAAGTTCTCTACACATCATTACAACTGAATCAAACATTCAAGCAATTGGTACCTTGCGAATGTTAGTTGGCTTCAAGAGATCCTCGGCGTTCCAGTTCAGCAACTCAACAAGCGATTCAAACTTTGTGCCAGGGAATTTGTAAAAACCGTGCGCGATGAGGTACCATGAACACAATTAAAAAGCCTAACGTACGCAATGCATACTAATTAAAATGTTCCTGAATAACATTTTTACGCCACAAAAACGATTGTTACCCAAGATGCTTTAGGAGAACTAGTCATCCAAAACGTATATGTATGTAGTTGACAAGATGCCTTGAGCGTGAACGAAAAAAGACAAACGTTCAATTATACATCTATTGCTAAAAAATTACTCCAAATCACGGTAAACCTCATTCCCTTAAATCAGTATATCACGATTTAAGCATTTTTTTCTCGAACAAGGTAATAGCAAAATGAGTGTTATTTTAATCAGATAAGGCTCACTCTTACTTTTTGTAGGTTCCGCCCACCTCACACTCTAATTTTTAAGCCTGCTATCATTTTACTGATCTTAGGGGCACCTCCAAAATACTACGGACTCGGTAACTTGTTAGGTGCAGAATTTGGCATTACAGGCCAAAATCGACTCTTTTTCTTTTCATTTTCTTCTTTGCGATGTATTTGTATACATTATACAAGATATTAAAAAATATAGTCATGAATATAATCGCAAAAATAAACGTTCCGTTGGCCTCGTTTTCTGAATACGTTGTACGGGTTTAAATAAAAGCCGCTTATCAACAGTTTAAGACCTGCCGCTGTCTGTTTAGACTGCGTGTACGCTCACGTGTTAAGGTTTCGCCTTATAGCATTAGGGACTTTAAACAAACCACGACGGCTACGGCAACGAGAACGAGGAAAAACAATAGATCTAATTGGCAGAACAATAGCCCAGCACGTGCGTTTTAAAACTTTGTACATTTCTTAGCCGTCCTTTGCAAAACAACAACGTGAAATCACCAAAATTTGCGTCGTCTGCGAAGCGAAACCGCGGCGGCAATTTATTTTAATTTACATTTGGAACTCAACGCTACTTTTATGCTTTATGTTGAGTTTGAGGTCTGGCGCCCTATGAGACGGTAAACACATGCAGCCATTTTCGAAATTCTAATTAAAAGTAGAAACTCATTTTTTAATCGACGTCTTCCGTGGCGTTGCCGTCCTGACTGCTTAAAGTCCCTATTACTGCCTATTTCACCATCGACAGCCGCTGATAAAAAAAGTTGCTAAAACTTCTGATACCGTAAGCTATGGTCTTTGTGATTGTATCGTCGTTTATCATATTGAATGCTGACGGTACTGTCACGTGTTTCACATCGGCAGCCGCTTATGGAAAACGTTACTAAAAATTCTGATACCGTAGGCTATGGTCTTTGTAATTGTATCGTTGTTTATTGTATTGAATGATGACGTGTGGAGTTGATACATAAGTTATATGTTGCTATAGAAATTGTTGTGCTACGTCGACGGGCTAATGACCTCTTGGTTATCAACTACATACAGTTAATGAAAGTAGGTAAACCATGCCGACGTTTTGAGCATTTCGAACGAAATGCTAGGTATTACACGTTAGCTTTTAAAAATTTGCCGCGGGGATTTATACCGCCGTCTTTTATCAACTTAAGGTTGACAATCAAAGAAGTGTCGCTCTAAATCGATACTCTATGATTCATATACGAAACAAAAGTTCAGTTTTGATATGATTAAAAATTGATTGACTGATATCTCACTGCAGCTACCAGCTTCATAGTCTACCTATGAGGAACACAGTGGACATGCGCGAACGTTTTAGTAGTTAAGAGGCGTATTTCAGGCTTCCTCAACTGAGTTGTCTCACACGAGTTACCGAAAACCACACTATCCAGTAACTCACGGTGTTTAAAAAGCGTATAGCGTTTTTGGTAAAGCTCAAAACAGAAAGGTAAATCGACACAATACTCGTCAGTACTTGAATAAGCTGTGCGTACTGACTTCTTTAACTAAACAACTTGCTGAATTTCAAAACTTGTTGACCGCACATACTGCATCCGCTTGTCGACTTTTTCATACAGCTCAAGGAATTTTTGCTCGAAAGCGTTGGCAACCAGTGCTCGTTTAGTCTTGAATGTTGGCGTCAGAAACCCGTTTTCGACGGAAAACAATTCATTGTGCAAGTGGATTTCTTTAACCTGTGGGCAAAAACACCGAATTAGTTTAATGGTGTTTTCAGTTTCCCATTATTACACTTTTTGCAGTTCATAAACTTTCATTTGCGCAAATAGTTCAGTCAATAGCGCGAAACTATATTCATTTACACCAATGATCTTTGCTCTCTTTTCACCCCCTGATAGCAACAAATCTTACCTTCAATGTTACAAAAAAGAATGAAGCTATTTACCTGTTCAAACGAGCTCAAATTGCCCTCTTTGCCTTTTTTAGTCATGTCCTCCATAATTGCTTTTCTTACTTCCTGATAAAAAAGGAAGATAAGGGTAAGAAAAGAGGAAACTCGTCCAAAGGCATAAAAAGGAAAGCAAAGGAACATTATTTCCTCTTGTCAAAGGTTATCCTCATATGAGATGATTTGTAGATGTAATACTGAGGACTACATGCTGTCCAATTTGGAAATAATTGGATGAAAAAAGATTCTGATAACAGCCAAAATAGGACGAGGTGATTGGCCGAGTCCAATCTGGCTGTCAGATGAAGTTTTTGAATCCAATTATATCCAAAATTGGACAAGCATGTAGTCCTCTTTCCTTCAAAAGTTTTGAGAATTATGCAAAACAACCTTCAGCTAAAAAAAATAAAATGGACTGGTTAGGGAGCCAAAAACTGCTCCTCTGTTCTTTAAAGTCTGGTTCTAAAGTATAGCTTCGGGTCCGTTAATTTTGCTGGAACTCGAACCAAACCTCTTATTTGAGACACAGACAAAGGCATCTATTAGGAGTTAAAGAAAGGCAGACAGGCGAAGGAGAGAAGAGACTGGTAGATAGCCACACACAAACACAAAGACTGTGACCGACAAGAAAAGATACACTGGTCGGCTTTCGTACTTCGTTCTCACACAGCTCTGCAAAGTCTCCTTGGATCTTTGTAGATCGTGCCCAGGGCTCCAGCACTTCCTGATCTGGAACAATGATTGCCACTACAAATGACTGAAAAAATGACACAAAATATGAATGGTAATGTTGTCACCACGATGGCCAACGGTAAGGACCAGCAACAGAGAAAACGCCTTTCGTTTGAAGGATATGCAATGGTAAATATAGAGTGGGGCCCCACCCTTGCCAAATTATCCCGACATAGAAATCTCGAGCTCATTTAATTGATAAATAGAGAGCGAGAAGCTCAGATGACTAGATTGGAGCATATGTGAAAGAACAGCTAGTAGATTTACCTAAATATTTTGTTTTTGGCAGTCTCGTTGAATGAAATTCCTTGATACAACTAGTCAGTCTAAATTTTAACTCGTTTGCACTCAACACGCCATGTAACATATCACAAAAAGAAGTACCGAGTTATAACTATCTCCCGCTTGTTTACTAACCCGTAAGCTATCTCCATGCACAAACGCTTGAGCAACCAAAGTACTGCGTAGGTAAACATTTTCGATCTTCTCTGGAGCAACGTATTCACCCTAAAGAGATAGAGCACAACACTGCTAAATTACTGCTCATGTTAAGCCAGCTGAATGTCGGTTGATCCAAACATAAATTTCTTCGTTTTCGGAATAGTAATGTGTAATCCTGAGTCTGAAACATATGAATGAATAAAAATTTGAAGCTCTCAATCACTCTATTTGCATGAGGAAAGGAAAAGAATCTTTGGAAAAGATGTTAAAAACTGGAACAAAGTTGAAAGAAAGAAAAATGGAAAAATATCAATAGTTATTTACATACTTACAAGCTGCTAGGAACTTCACAGCTTCATGGAAATTTAACTAATTTTGGTCCACAAAGAATTAAACTAGGTCAATCTAGAATTACGCTTACCTGGGCAAGCTTAAAGATATGCTTGACACGATCGACTATCTTCAAGGTCCCATTCTGTAATAAATAAAAAGTAAAATATGTTTTTCTTTTTCAGGGAGCATTAACGAAGATTTTTTGACAGCATTCTGGAACACGATTTGTTGATATGTCCTGCAGTGCAGAACCAAGCGCGTACTTTATAGGCCCGAGGGTTTCTTTAAGCCTCCTCGCCTATTCTCCTCAACAAAATAAGTATAGTATTTGTGGCAAAAAAAATCTCATCCTACAACATGATCGGTTGATTGTATCCTGGATGAACCAGTCTGCTCGAAGCCTCTCCTATGAATAATGCAACCGCACTCTTACCGGAAGCCATTCTCCTATATCACCAGTGTGGAGCCACTGATCCTTGTCAACAGTCTCGGCGGTTTTCTCCGGAGCTTTCAAGTAGCCTTGGAAAACCGTCGGTCCCTTTATACAGATCTGGGAAATGTCCAAGAGAGCAGAGGTAAAAAATTTGTGTTCTAAATGCATCATCGGTTGTATTGTTCCATTTTGAAGTTTAACATAGCAGGTTTCAATATTCTCCTCCGAGGGTTTTATTTTGTTCCTTTGAATTCAGCAGTGAAACGTAAGGCAAGCAAAAAGGGGATCAAAACAAGCGAAAGACAAAACAAAAGACGAAAATAAATTAAAAAAAAAAACAATTAGAAAAAGAAAACTTTGAAAATTAAGGGTAGATCATGATATTTTCCCGAAGCCGTTTCAAACATCTGGCTCACTATAAAAAAATAACTATAATCGTAATCGATGAAAAAGAAAAGTAAAAAAATAGATAGTTTATGTTACCTCTCCTTTACCGTCTTTAGCGTAACACTCCTTTTCTGGCACGTCAACCAACTTGATTTGATTACTCGGAATCGGCGCTCCCACGTGACCTACAGACATGGTAATCATGTGACAATAAAGCAAAACTAGGGTATTGGTGTCGATCAGGGGTAAAACGTCACTTGATCCTCGTATGCGCTTCATACTTCGCTGAGAGTGAAGGAGAAGGAATGGGCTCTAATTCGTCGATGCGACCTGATTTACTGACGTGGCAGTTATCAGTAGGTTTGATAACCATATGAAGGTTCTTTTTGCCTTACCAACAGACGTGTCCTTCGGGAAAGTAATGGTTGCTGCCGCAGTACTTTCAGTCTGTCCATAGCCCTCTACGACCTTGAAATAGAAGATAAAAGGATGATGTTATGAGCACTTTCGTGCAGTTGCTAGCTGGCTCAGCAACGAGAAAAAGCAGCTAGTAAACACAGAATTTAAGAAGTTTAAATTGTGCAATGATGTAAAAACAGATTGTGCGTTGAAAGGGGACTCAAGATTTAAACAAAAGATTGTCGTTTGTCATTTTTTCAGTCTTGATAATTTCTGGACAAGCAAAGTCCGAATGCTCCATACAACTGGCGAACCTATGACGTCAAGAACTTAACGTGGACCCTTGAAAGAAGTCTACCATTGAGCTAAGTGACCCCAACGTGCGGAGCCAAAACTGGTTTCCAAAGAGTTTTGAGGTTAAGAACTTTTGCAAATTTATCCTCCATAGAATGCTGCATGAGTCTTTCACTATTTCTTCCGACATCTCATTGGGTTCAATCTCCTAACAGGTCGCTGATACCAACTTAGAGTCCTAACTGGAGGGTATCATTGTGGGAGCATTAATAGTATATCACACAAGAACGCTGAATAACGATCCTGGTTAACTCTCGAAACTAAACCTCTGGTTCCGGAGTTCATATCACAAATCACTTTGGCAATCCAGTCAGCTGCTATTGAAAGGTAATCAATTTTGGGTCTTCCCCAGTCATTGCGCTAAATTTGAATATCAACGAGGAAGGTGCGCGAAAGGTGCGCGAAAGGTGCGCGTGGTGGATGATGAGAAAAGAGGAAAAGGAGAGAGAGTCTCTCCTATCTGTCTTTTTCTCGTTTGTTGTCCCTTTCGTCTCTCGCAATCCCGCTCCGGGATAGGACGGGACGAGTTTGAGTGCGAGTCGATAATCAATAGATTTGGATATATCAACAAAGTTGAAATGGTAAATTGGCCACCATAAAGATTACAAAAGCTGACGTTTCGAGCGTTAGTCCTTCGTCGGAGCGAATAGAGGAATTGGGTTGTGTGTGCTTTTAAAGGCAGAAAATGGAGCTACGTTATTGGTGGGAACATGGCAACGAGAAAAACAGGAATAAATTAGTGGAATGAAAAGCGTTCGTTGATCCCTGTGGGATTTAGACTGCCGGTTCGAAAGATGAGCTTTTGTTCAATAGATGTTGACTTACGCAACAAACTCCCATGGTGCATCTTAGAAACGTCATCACTTTAGCCGACAGGGGAGCGGCTCCAGTCACAATCAGCCGAACATTTCCACCAAGGGCCATCTGTTGAAATGCAATCAAAAACTTGTTGGTCAGATCGTGTAAAATTTTTGAACATAGCAAATTATAGGTGACAACTACTATATGTAAAATTAAATATTAATATCAACCATGAGACAGTTCGTAACTAACATTGTGCAAAAAGGTAAAAAAGAAAGCGTCGATTTACACTCTCAACCATATCTATCTTCTGAATAAACTGGGGTAAGTTCCTAAAGAAACTGTGGTGCTCCGTCGGTGGGGGAGTATGGCACAGTAATTATGGTTTCATCAACTGAGTTGATAATGTAAATAGCCGCCGTAAAGAGTTTTAAAATTAACGTTTCGAGCGTTAGCCCTTTGTCAGAGCGTAGACTCGTCTCCATATCTATCTTAGCTTGCGAGCAAACCTAGGCCCAGGCCCTCCGCAAGAGAGTTTCTTCACCCGTAAGGAAGAAAGAGGCTTTGAGCAACGCAAACCCGCGAGAGGTCGGCAAGGGGTCTTACACTAATAACATTAGTGCCAGACCCCTCGCAAACCTCACCCCAACTCGTCTCAAATCTCCCCGCGGGCGGAGAAACGAGCATCCTGTAGCGCTGTTAATGATGACCTGCGCATGCCCGCAGGCTATATCTATTCCTGAGACCCGTTCGACCACCGCTCCGTTACATTAACTGAAAGAGATCTAAGAGTGGTTTTGCTGACCTTAATTCTCTTGAACACGGTGCGATCCCAAATCGTGTCACCTCTGATTATTCCCCTACAGTTAAAATTTGTCACAAGACAAGAAGTGAAACGTTTTCACATGATAACACTTTTCAAGAAAGGCATAGAAATAATTTACGCAATTAAGAGGCGTGATCATTGTAAATTGCGATCTTCCTCCGCAGTTCCAAACTAGATCCTATCTCAACTTTTATATTCACGGTCGTATCAGTTTTTGCCGAAGGAAAAAAAAATGTCAAAAAAAAATTATCTTCGCTGATGAACTGCAATTAAGCAATCACAGAAAAGAAGCCTGTAAAAAAAAAAAATTCAGGTTTGGACGGGATCATGGAGCAGTTCTTCCCAGATACTTGTTGGGCATTCGCCTACCAACTGAGCAACGAAGCCACCCATTAGGGTAGAGGCATGCTACTCAGTAAAAGCCTCCTTCTTTATTAGGCTAGGATTTGCTCTTCTATGAAGGAGATAAATTGTAAAGTTCTCGAATTAAATGAATAAATAATGACTTTATTGGATTACACAATTACTGGTAGAACCAGTAGTTCTCACTGTGCCTGGTTCCATGCAAACAACTGAAACAAATAAATTAAATTGAACATAACATTATTAAGAATCCCAACTGGCCGAAGGCAAACCAGTTGGCAATTTACAAGCATGGCTGACGATTTGAACACGGAGCTACCGTGAAACAAACCCAGGTAGTGGTCAAGGCTGAACTCGAACCCGGGAACGGCGGATTGCGAGTCCGACACGCTGACCACTTGGCCACACTGCCTCCAGAAGTCAATTAAGCAAGACTAACTTTTTCAGATCCGCCTCTTTAGATGTAAGTGCCCTGTTAAAAAGCCAGCTTTTCAGTTTGCTTTGGGAAACCTGCGCCATGACCTGAAAATAAAAAAATTATGGGATCCTTACCATACAAAGATAGAAGAAGTCTTCTAACCGCTGGCGCTAAAATTGCAACTGCGTAAGATGTCAATTGCGGTTTTATTTGTTTATTTATTTTTTTTTTTTACAGCGATGCTAAAGGAAATTCAATTTGTCTGTCGTGTACATTCGGCGAATTTATAATCCTTGTCCAAAATTTACAGCCACACAGGTTGCTAATAGATCCCATCAGTATTATGGAAGGTGTATGCGTGAGAACAAACAGACTCTATATATGGATACAACCCCATAGCGAGGAAAGAGAACCCATACGGAAGGGGCCTACGAACACAGGACACAAAGGCAAAGCAAAACCCGAAAAGGAACATCCGTGTGCGGGAATAGAGATCCTAAGGGGCGCGTGTGAGTGTGAGCTTGGGAATCAGATAGGAAATGTGTACTTTCGTGAACAGAATCGAAAAGATGAAATGCAAGTGCAAATGCAAACAAGTGAACCAAAACATGCCCGCTGAAGTTCAGACACTCAAGAGGAAAGTGCAAGCGCAGAAGTCTGTCGAGAAATATGAGAGGATGAGTGTGGACACGAAACAGAGGACACGTGATTGCTGCCACGAACGGGCAATAACGAAAGAGCGTATGCCAGCACAAAATGTTGAGATGAAACGATATCCGATGAGGAAGGTGCACGAAAGAAAAATTAGCGTGCATGTTCTGGTACACATACCTTGTCATAAACTCTAGTGAGCAGTCTTGGTACAGAAGGAAAAATTGTTGGCCTGAAAACAACATTTTTTTGTTAACCTGAATCATATGATGACTAGATGAGCAGTCTTGGTGCAGAAGGAAAAATTGTTGGCCTGAAAACAACATTTTTTTGAATCATATGATGACTAGATTGACAAAACTGAGCAAAACACAAATAATATGACACTAATTCAGAAAAGAGGCTAGCCGAGTAAGGGAAGTAACTGCATATTAGAACTTTAACCAATCATGCAGTTATTTCAAAAGATTAGTGTTAGCTCAGCCTTAGGCAAATACCCAATTTCACTCCAAACCCTAGCTTTCACGGTGTGGACTGGTGAGTTTTCGAAGGAAAGTATTTCCAAAATACTGTTATTAAGGTCCAATTACGAGGTGTTACCTTTTACCTCCTGCACGGAAATCCGGCGCTCTACAATTGAATATGAACTAAGCAGGCAGCGGTAATGAAATTTTTCTCACTTGTAGGTGACAAACAGAATGAACACAAACTTACTTTAGCTCTTGAATATCATCCAGCAGAAGTTTTACGTCTCCTCGAAAGAAACCAATTTTTACCCCATTTAAGAAGCACATTGCCTGCAAAAAATAGAGATATTCATTTAAGAAGAATGTTGAGCTGTCAGTGGGAAATCCACCTGTACCTTGCTATCAGACAAAAGATTGAGAATGATGATACATATTAGCTAGGCCATTTCGTGGATGCTCAACTCTTTTTCAAGCAGAAATATCACCTCGACATTTTTTTTGAGAAATAGCTTGTTACTCCCTACTGACAAGATGATATGAGTGAAGACCAACGAGTCTTATTACGGAAGCACCACTGCTTCTAGTTGGAGCTCCGCTGCCTCGCACACTGAGCGATGAAAGATCCGCTGTTCACGCACGCGATTAAGTTTATGCTACAAAAGTTTTAAACTTGACTAGTGTTCGCACACTCGACTAATGGTGTGGAATTAGAGCTCCGTGGCTAAGAGACCAACATGCAATAGAACATGATCTAAAAGAGGCACTTTTGATAGTTCTAGTTTGCGCATGCGTACCTGAGCCAGTCGCTCATACATATGAGCCAATGGGAGATAAGAGATCATACAGTCTCCTTCTATCATCTGGAGACCAGATTCCTGTTCAAAAAATAAATCAAAGAGTTTCGTCCTTAAAGATCAAGCTGAAGACGTCCGCTGTAACTTACTGCTCCGGAAGATTACGCCTGAGTAAATGCATGAAAAACCCCAGCTAAAGATAGGATACTTTTCATGATCACTAAACAGGAGCGGAAAAAATTTGAGACGAGACAAGATGGTTGCTTAGTGTTATTACGCCTGATCAAACATTTTGGTACGCTTTGGCGGCATACAAGGTGAGTCATAGTCCCTCCTGTGGAAGAGTTGAAATCAGCTCACTGGAAACGAGAACCAAGAGGGACGTGAACATCTGTGTGAAACTGACCAAAAACCAATTTACACCCTCCCACCCCCCCTCTCAACCTCTCCCTCTCACCCCCCCTCTTGCTCACTGTTTTCTTCGATTCAATGCTGAATCTGTCATAAAAGGTAATTACAATTTTAATGACACAAACCTCGTATTGGACTTGAATTCCAGCGATCCCAGCATTTATGTTTCCATGACTAAGCATGGCACCCTTTGGCGTACCTGTTTATCGAAGAACAAAGGAAAAGAGACAAAAACTGTGCAAATTCAGAACACAAAGGCATGTACGAATAGGATCACGAAAACACATATATACCCGTTGTTCCACTTGTATAACAGACAGTCATGGTATCCTCGGGTCTCCCAGGCTGAAAGAGTAAAATTCGTTGTTGTTGTAATTTTGTTTCTTGATTAGCTTCTGCAACTCCATGTAAACATACACCATGTAATAGTTTAGAACCAGCGTTTTCGTTGCAGAGGTGTGTGCATTAGAGAAAAAGCTTCAAGAGTACCAGAGTTGACCATAAGAACCTACCACATCGACTCCGCTTGACAAGATGATTTGACGGTTTAAATGCTTTTTAATATCGTTTCCTTCTGAAAAATTTTACTCTACACAAGTCTCTTCATTGTCACGTGACACTCGGGGGTCAAACTCAACCAGGCATTTCACGACATTATGTTGCTTTCTACGTCAGTACATATATACATGATATTCAATGCCAGACCGTGACTTTTCTTTAGCACAGCAAATTTAATGTAATGACGTATTCGTGTAGGTAATAACAAGCTTTCGAGTGCAATTTGGAGAAAATAAGCGAGAGTAAATTTTTCAGAGACAACAAAATTACACACTCCCGTAGGGCGAGTGCAATTTGTAGTCTTAAAAAAATGTATAAGCGCTTATTTACACCAATTTACACGAGAGATAATGTTGTTACTTGTTGATAATTTGCATGAAAAAGCATCACAGAAAGTCGAGACAGACGAATTTTTAACAGCACGCATGCGCTATTGGTAATTTACACTCGTGTTACAACATTCCATTCGTGTTTCATAAAAATATACCCTTGTTTTCTGCCAATCAGACACGCGAAATTTTTCTTGGATATTATCAACACACTAAGTAAATGGCAAAAAAAAAAATAACTGCCCAATTTGCATTTAAATTCTGGTGGTTTTGTCTCTTAAGCTTTTACTTGATTACTTACATTTCTCTCTTGAGGATTGTTAGAACCCATTTGCTGAAGAAAAAATATTTAACAAACATTATTTCAAAGAATTCTGATGGGAAAAATTCTGAACCAATCACGACACACAAGTTGTTAGCCGACTAATCGCCGCTGAGCCTACTTGCGCGTCAGTGTTTTGGAATGATAGCAAGGTACAGTATTTCCACCATCACCTTTCGAACGAATACAACATGTTGAAATAAATGGATTTAAGTATAAGTGCACTCACGAAGTACGTCAAAGTCAAATTGAGGATTTCGCTGTTCTGGGAAAAAAAAAGATCGGAGAACGCAGAGCTTTGAGCGGGTGACACATTCGGTGATTTTACTCGCCTATCGTGGCGATCTTGGTCGCCGGCGAAAAATCGTCGATATCTGGAATGGCAGATACTGGTGATTTTACACGCTGATCGCGGCGATCGGCGGAAATCACAATCGCTGCAACGGTTACACTTGGAAATTTTCGACGATTGCTTCGATCGTTGAAAATAAGTGCGCTTAGTGGAAGATCGGGGTAATTTATCACCACACAACCAAAATTCCCCGACCCC